CATCCACCCATGGAAACCTCCTTTTCCACGGATCTACACACCCACCCACGCCCACCCATGGATGGATGGATGGATGGGGCGCACCAGTTCTGGCGACGGCGACGCCGGATCCACACCCACCTGCACAATGGAGGCCTGCCGCATCGGGATCCACCGCCTGCTCTCGGTCTGGTGCGGCACACCGGACCACACCGGAGATTGCTACTGCGGTGGCCGTCGACGACAGCGCATCTCTGGCGGGACCTAGACGCCCAAGGTATGGACGAAGTCCTTGCCCAAAGTATGTACGGCGGGACCTATACTGATTACATTCATCTCAGGCATGCATCCGTGGTTGGTGACCTTGCGTGCCGCCATTGCCGGAGGCTGGCTGGTTGGACGGGCATCCGGAATGCCGGTGTTTGCAGCCTTACATCTCAGGTGTGGTTTCTTCCTGTCGTCGTCCCATACTCGTCCCTTGTTGTTCTAAATTTTCTTGAGGCTTGTGTTTGACATCTCTCGTCTGTGCTGTTTCCATCGCAGGGAAGACGCTTGCTAAAATGTGTGCATGCCAAGATTCCTACAGTTCCAGACTGATTAGTGAGCTTACACTTCTAAGGGTGGATCGATTAGCATACTCTGCCTACTGAATGCCAGTCTGAGAGGTAGCATCTGCTATCGTCAGGTTATATAAGGTGCATCCACATAAACTGATTTCTCACTCAGCTACTTATAATCTGTGTGGAGAAGACTGACAACAGACTGATAGGTTAATATGAACATCAAATAACTTAAACAAGGACATTGTTTGTGTTAACCCACCACTCTTTTATTTAAATTTCCCTGCTGGACCTTACAAGCAGCAGCCTTCACAACTCTTTCATGCCCAATAACTGGGAAAGAGTGTGGCATCGGCAACAGAGCTTTCCTTGTACCAAATGCATGCACATCACATGGCTGCTCAAGTCCTTCCTTCCTACTGTCTTAGTATAAAAATCTTCTTAAGTTTTGTACATGGTCCCTGGTTCCTTTGATGACATTAGTCAAAATACACTGATGGTTAATTATATATATCCACATAGCAAGTATACGGTATTGTCCTATACATTTCACATGATGGAAGAGACATTACTTACATTCGTAGTTTCGTACTGAAGTGTTAAAGTATGCATGTTTTGCTTAGTTGAAAAAGCTGAGATATCGTACTGAAGAGAATGCGAATGATGTTCACTCTGTTATGCTTCTAAAGCATCTGAATGGTGTTCATTGCTGTTTAAATGATGTTCATCTGCTATGGTTTGCTTCAGCTCGTGTGGATGGGAGGTGGATGCCAGCACGGATCCAGTGTCTCCGACCTCGGCATCCACAAGGAGGAGCGGCGACAATTACATACCCAACCATGGGGCAGCAGCAATTCATTGTTGAGCCTCCCTCTACCTCTCTCACATTCCCTTATTTTGCTGCTGCTCTAAATTCACTTTCACTTGATTGAATCTAGTGCTACTGCTGTCAGTCCCTAGTCCCTAGTGCTACTGCTCTAAATTCACTTGCATGTTTGACTAAATCATAAAAGAATGAATAGGTGTTGGCTCTAGAGTGCTAGCTCGTATACTCTAGCAGGCGAAGCACGTACGTGCAAGCTAACTTCAACAAAGCAGACTAGTAGCTTAATTGATTATTTGTTAGCTAGTAGTACTCGGACGTGCAGTCTCACGTATACGTACGAGCTTAGCAGAGCTAGCTAAGCTAGCGACTGATCGATCTGACTTCTTGCGGCCGACCGTAGCGACTTTGTAACTCAGCGAACTGAAAAACGATGGAGATTTTGTGGATAGCCACAGGGGCGTGTCGCTCCTGGATTTCTTTGTATTGCTTTGATCGACTTAGAAAGATTACAATGGCTGGGTGCACTTATGATGCACTTAGTGTGCCACCTCCAGATGACTGACTGACTGTGTATTTGTACTAGCGCGTGCTGACGAAGCAGGAACACACCCAATGCCTTGGCAGGAACACAGAGTTGCGGAGAGCAGCAGCTCGCAATCGTGGTCAGGGACCGACCGTCCGAGAGTAGACCGTGGAGACATGGAGTTCAGTCCAGGAAGTTCCTTGTAATATTTTGGATCTCATTTTTGTTATGATGAATTGATATATAATGATGTTTGATCTGCTTCTGCTTGATTCCTTACTTGTTGTAGGACATTGCAGTCACGTAGATTTTGCTGGTTGTGGCATTGCTTGAAATTGGGTTATTGGATAGCTGAAGCTGCGTTGGATTTCTTCTAATTTACTCCAGGAGACGAAGACCACGCTTCATGAATTCAGGTGCTCTCTCTCATTTTTCTTGAAACAATGTTGCCAAAAAGGCATTTATCTGGTTGTGACATAATAAAAGAAAGAATAAACTTGTAGATAAAATCATTGGAGCTTGTATATCCAAATCCTATAATTATATACTCTCTCTGCTCCCAGGGCGCCGCCGAGGTGGTCATGTGGGATCCTCTCGAACAGCGCGTGCTCGCTGTCGACTTCGATGGCAGGGTCACCCGCTCCATCGGCCCCCTCTCCGGCGGGATGTACTACTCGGGTTTCATCCCCTACGTCAACTCATACACAGAGATCTACATGTACTACTCAGATTAAACTCTGTTCTGCTGTACAATTACACTCGCAAGCTGTCTTACCGTATTATTGGATCTGTTGATCACTGCCTACATGTTAGATCGGTTTGATTTTGAGATGCAGCGAGACTTTGATGTTTCTGAATTCTGATGTGAAAGCATGTCTACGTCAGCTGAACTTTGCACGACTGTTCCTGTAGATCGATGGTGATATCAGCATGCATCCTAATTGTCAATCTCGAGTCTGCACTTCTGTATGTTTTTGATGTGAAACACTTATGCATGACTAATTGTTAAGTTGATACAATTTCTTTGGTAGACAAGCATGGAAATATGTATTAACTTTCCTGAAAATTGAGATTTTCTTAACTAATCAAGAACTCCCCTCATTATGTAAAACACCTATGCATATGACTAATTCTGCACGGCAATTCTGTTCAATTCTGATTTCTTTGGTTGCCAATTCTGTTCAATTGTGAAACACCTATGATATGACTATGAAAGCATGTCGACATCGGTACAACTTTGCATGCATATTTTATTGACTAGATATATACGTGTTGACTGTTCGTCTGTTCCTATGTACTGCATATTGTGTAATGGAGTTTGCTTGTATGGTGTTTGTGAAAATGTTTGTATGAAAATAATTTGACATTGGTGACAGCGTACATGGCCATTAGAAATGCGGAAGCGTACAGCAGCTGCGGCCACCCACGCCCTGCTTCTCCTGGTCTCTGTGTACCCTGCCTGCATACTCTCTGTTTGTGATTTTTTCTAGCAAGTATCTGATCATGAGAAATGAGCTCTCTAGGATTCACTGGACCAACAACTACTTGTTCTAGCATGTTTATTTCAAGCAATTTGTCATTCATGTTGTTTGATGAAACAGTACCCATGTCGGGAGACTAGTAGAACTTGCAAACTTCAGTTTTCTCACCATTAGTCACTTATCCTGCTGTTCATGTCCATACACCAGTTGTATTGGTTCTATGTTACAGCTGCTGCAAACAATTTATTAATGTGGGATGTGGCTCTATGTCCAGTTCTCTTTCTCTTCTAAAGAAATCCCCTCTGCCTCTGGTGTGCAGCAAGTTGATTGTTTTGTATCTGTATTATTGTTCAGATTGGCCAAGTGTTCGTCGATCTGCAAGCCTGTTTAAGAGCTGGATTGGCCGGTCCAATTCAACACGGAACTATGTGTCTGTTGAAACTTTTCGTCTATCAAGTGTCGCCTCGCCGCCTCCGGCCACCCCGACGACGCCCTCGCCTTCGCCAACCTCCACTCCTCCATGAGGTACGCATGCATTTTTGTTTCTATTGCTCGCACTTTGTTCCTGATGTATTCCTTTGACTAATGAACCTAGCAGCATCAGAGTCTAGAATATCCACACCAAAATGCATTGGCTTGCTGAACCCTTGTGCTGGTTAGAAATGCAGAATTGTGATATTGTGCTGGGAGCACTCTTGCTACAGTCATCAGTTAGATTTCAGCTTTGCATCTTTTCAGGTTTAACCGTTGGTTTACATTGAAACTGTTAAGCAAGTATCAAATTGAGTACATAGTGTGCAATTTGTGTTTAGTAATTTAGTAGGTCATAAGCATCAGACCATATGTTTTCTTATAAGCAAACTATATTGATGGTTGCAAGATAAGTTAAAATATACTAGTGCTACCTTGATTTTTATACTACTTGCCATTTATTTTCTTCGTTTGATGTTTTATATGCTTCTGATGCGTGATCCTTGTAATGCTAGGTGATTTGTTTCTTGCAATTTGGAAGAGGAAGATGATGAAGCATGGTTGTTATCTATCAATATGCCTTGTGTTCTGGTTGTACTTCATAGCTAGTTACATTGTATTCTGTACTGGTCTGGTTGTATGAACACTATGTAAAGATTGTAATAGGCTAATTTTGGCTATCATTTCGAGCATATAGTTATGTTTCATTTGAAATATTTGTCATTTGTGTACTGTGAAAATGTGAGAAATAAAAATCTGATGAGTTGGACCTACTTATTGGTAGAGGCTAAGGCCCAAAACGTAAAATAGCCTGCAAAAAGGCTCAGGCCCAAAAAAGAAGTCGACTGCAAAAAGGCTGAGACCCAAAGACAAATGGATCGTAAAAGTTCTATGTCTTAGAAACCAAAAAGGCCAAATTGTTGGGCTTGGACCATGTAGTTGATCAAAATCGATATGAAAATAAATAATAAATGGGCTGAATTGTTGGGCTCGGCCCATGTAAAACACCTAATCGAATTGGGCTGAATCTTGTCAGTGACCTTTTCAATTGGTCGCAATTTTGCCATGTCGGATCCGACGTGGCCTGGGCAGACAGCCAGTGACCAAAACAAAAGGTCATGGGTTCAACGACCTTTTGTTTTGGTCGTAAACGTCTACGACCTTCTCACAGAGAAGTTCGTTAATTTTAGTTTACGACCGCCAGCTTTTGACCTCCTGTTTTTGGTCACAAAAAGGTCACAAATGAAAAACAGTGACCTTTCAGTGACCAATAGTCAAGGTCACGAGTTGACATATTTCTTGTAGTGGAGGCAACCTCTTCGGGTTGTACCACCCCAAGCTTCCGTTCCCAATTCCAATGATGGTCTGTGCTTCAAGTGTGGCCTTCCAGGTCACCGTTCCAGTAAGTGCCCTCAAAATCAGAATCAGCTGGCTCTGTCTTCAACTGGCCGTAACAATCAGCCCCATAACAACAATGCCAGACCTTATGGTCGTGGTCAGGCTAATCATATTGATCTGAATGAAGCTCAAGGCCAGCCTGCCACGGTGATGTGTACTCTTCTCGTTAATTCAGTACCAGCATCTGTTTTGTTCGATTCAGAAGCATCGCATTCTTTCATATCAGAAGAGTTTGCATTCATGCATGGCATTAAATACGAAGAGATGCACACTCCACTAGTGGTAAAAAAAACCTGCGGGCCAATGCCAAACCTTCATGGTTAGCCACAACGTTTCAG